GTCTCGAAAAACATAATAATAATAATAATAATAATAATAATAATAATAGCCGGGCGATGGTGGCACACGCCTTTAATCCCAGCATTTGGGAGGCAAAGGCAGGCAGATCTCTGAGTTCAGGGCCAGCCTGGCCTACAGAATGAGTTCTAAGCAGCTGTGGCTACACAGAAAAACGATATCTCAGAAAAACCAAAAGGAGAAAGAAGGAAAGACCCTGTAACTCCAGTTTCAGGGGATCCCACACCCTTGTCTGTCCTCCACAGGCACCAGGCATGCAAGCAGGATGTATACCAGGGATGGCACACAGACACACATGCAAGCCAAACACCCATACACATGAAATAAGATTTTGAAATAATAAGTTCTTCATAAAGATGTCCAGAAATTCAAAAATGGTTCTTTCATTCATGTTTTATTTTCACAGAAAGTGTTGTTCTTTTTTTAAAAATGCTGCAAGATCCCCGCGGCAGTAGGCAGCAGAAATGCTGTAGGTCCCAAATGGTGGTGGCAGGCAGCGGGTCCTGGGAGCAGCCAGTCCCAGGCAGAGACGGCTGCTGGTCTGGTCTCAGAGCAGTGGTGGCAGGCCATGTGGAGGCAGGCAGTGGGCCCCAGGCAGAGACGGCTGCTGGTCTCTGAGCAATGGCTGGTCCCAGGCAGGGAGACACATGGCTGGCGGGCAGAAGACAGAAACATGGATAGACATGACATGCAGGGGATTATGGAGGAGGAAGGGTGAAGGGGGAGACAGAGAGAGAGGGAGAGGGGGAGAAAGGGAGAGAGAGAGAGAGAGAGAGAGAGAGAGAGAGAGAGAGAGAGAGAGAGGAGAGGAGAGAAGAGGAGAAAGAGACAGAGAAGGGGGGGAAGCAGAAAGCAGAGAAGTGGGGAGAGAGAGGCAGAAGCAAAGCTGCCTCTCCGAGAGGAAGATGGAAAAGAGGGAACTGGGCCGGAAGCTGAAAATCAGCCTGCCTCAGCAGATGGGGGAGGGAGTGGGCATGGCTTGTCTCTTAAAGGGACCAATACCATAACATTCCCAGGTCTTAATAAAAAGCAGATTAGATCTCTTAAAAGGACCAAAACCATAACACAAAGTATATTTATTCATTTGTTTGTTTATGGGCAGGATCTCCTATAGCTCAGGCTGGTCTCAAACTCAACTTGTAGACAAGGCTTGC